AGGCGCACAGCGTGAGTGACAGTCTTAAAATCTATGGTTATGGTATCATATTAATTACTTAAAGGTTAAAAAGTACGCTTTTTAAACATCGTGTAAGTAGTTTGGGCTTCTCCTTTGAAAGGTTTTACCCACATTTTCAAAAATCTGACCCCATATTTTAGAGATTTTAGGTCGGCTGGATCTTTCCGGTAACACAATCGAGTATTTTTTTACATTACAAAATTTTTCAAACAGTTCCGAATGTCAATACTGTATACTGTACTTGAATTCCAATTTCTTAGTAGGCTATATGCAGATATAAGCAGAGTAATTATAAGGAAAAAAATGAACTAAATTGATCATTTTTAGAGCCCACTCAAATATCAAGTATTGTTGTAATCCGTTATTTATAATTACGCATTAAACAAATCAAGAGTTGAATTTTTTCATATGCCATTAATCACTGTTTTCAAATAGTTCAATATTTTTTTTTTTCAAAAGAAGAGTTATTAGCCACTTGATTTTCTTGACGAAGATTAACAAATGTGGTCAATGATACATGGGAAGAGCAGCTACAAATACGTTAACAAAAAACAAAAAAAACACCCGGTACCTCTTTATTATCGAGCAACATGTCGAGTTCTAAATAACAAATAATCCATTATTAGTCAGGTTGTGAAGATTACAAATAATATGCGATTTTAGGATTTGTCTTTGATATTGATAATAGAAGAGGCCTACGTAGATAGTACTACAGCTACATTATTATGGCTAAGGCGTAGAAAAATGAACATCATTGTTTTTAGTGGGTATAAAATAAATAACTTTATAGACAGCACATTCTAGACTGTTAAAAATGTGGACATTTTTCGATTTAGGGAGTTGGGTCACAAATTTCTCCCAACCTCCCAAGTTGAAGTCAGGTTGTATTTGTTATCCTTTAAAATCTTTACATTTAACTCATATCCTGAGTGACTAGAATGTGTTGTATGTTGCGATATTACTAATAACAAAATTGATGAAAGGAATGTAACAAGACTTTCAAACATAAATCCCTTTTGTTGTTTATGTTGAGATATCACTAATAACAAAATTTATCAAAGGAATGTAACGAGATTTTCAAAGATAAATCCCTTCTGTGTTTAAACATTGTCAAATTATTTCTTTAATCTTCACATTTAACTCATACCCTGAGTGACTAGAATGTGTTGTACGTTGAGATATTACAAATAACAAAATTGATCAAAGGAATGTAACAAGACTTTCAAACATAAATCCCTTCTGTTTTTAAACACTGTCAAATTATTTCTTTCTTTCCTACTATTTTGAATTACTGATTTGATAATTCTTACAGCACCGTTAAATAGCAATAATATTTCTATTTCTATCATATTTTTGCAATTCGTTGGACGCAAATTGAATGCATTAATGCATGCTCAATAACATCCCGAATTTTAAAGCGCTATTAAACAGTCGTTTGAAGTTGCGATATTTTAAGAGGTTATCATAAAACGTGTGACGCACATAGTAGGACAAAATGTAAGCTATGTTTTAAACATGCTCAACAACTAACACTGGAATATATGAGAAAAGAGTAAAGCTGATTGAAAAGAGCATACTGTTGTTTTCAGACGATCAGATTTTGGTGATGTAAAGAATTTCAGAACATTACCTAAGTTGAGGGTCAAGTTCATAGTAAGCCCAATGAATGGCAATTCAGCGAATGAGAAATCAATGCAATATTGCAATAATCAAGCAAATCATTACTAAATGAATGGAATAGATTAGTAATCGATGAAGTGATAAAACTAACAGAGATGTGCCAGTCAAGTAGTCTTTGAGAGAGCCGAGTGGATGCTTGAGACCACCCTTGTTGGTGGTTCGGGTTGTAAAGCCAAGTGTTCACACATAAGAACTCAATACTGAATCGTGTAAATATCAAAAAATCCTTGACAGTATTGCTAAAATATTATGAGTTACCAGGCCCGTAGGCAGGGGGCAGGGCTCAATAAATTCATTAAAAGATTTTAGATTTTTTTCATAATTAAAAAATATGTTATGTTGGCCTATTACAATACAGAGTTTTGGAATGTAATTTAGACACCGTTTTGGGGTGCAATTTGGAGACAGTGCTATATAAGGCCATTTACTGACCAGCCATGTAATATTTTAAACCCGAGAATACTATTGCCAGCATTTACAGCTGCTTCATCCTTTTTTTTTCTTTATTTATTTATTTATTTTTTTTGCGCCTCACCAGCCAGAGTGGGGCAGAGGTGGATGTTAACACGTTTAATACTCACCCCTCCCTATTTCCAACAGAATTCACAAGACTTATTTTATATTAGTCAGTTAATCAATTTAGAATAATGTTTTAAGTCTGAGAATGCCATATCTGGGCATATAGTGCTGTCACATCATTGAATTGTTTACGCCTCAGCCCCAACCATGATGAGACTGAGGTGGATATAGACTTTCCTGTTATTTGCTATTCTCTCCTAGTGTCGCTACAAAAAATATTTGATGTATTTGATAATGAACGACAGCAATACCGTCAAATTAAGACACTTTGAAAAAAGCCTTCGTGCTATTTTTAAGTTCAGCTCCAACAGTTGTGGGATTCGGGTGGGCGTGGCCCTTCAAGTACTGTTCCCTACCCCCCCCCCCCCCGAGAAAAATGTTAATTCCCCCTGATCAACGAGTATTGTTACTACTCTGGTAGGAGTCATGCAACGTGAGAAGCACGGGGTGAGGGTGGTGTTTGTTAATGCTTGACCATCATAGACACGAATACTTACAACTTAGATCGAAAACTGGACAAAATAAGCGTACTTATAACAGCAAATAAGTAAAGCAGTAAAATAAGTAAGATCTGTTCAATAAGAGGACATACTCTACATGTTTGAATTTATTGATTTGTAAAATACGACTTTCTTGAATGTCTATTGTTGATTGTTATAAACCAATGTGTTCATTTCCATAATCCAATTAGCTTTACATTAATCGCTGTAAATGTTGTCAATGTCATACTGTCAATTTAGTGAGCCTATTAAGCGTTTTAAATCCATAATACCTCAAAACTCATCATTAAATACAATAGGAACTGAAAGAGAGTAGATACATGGGCTAGAACTAAATAAAATTTACTCGGTGTTATCGTTGTATGAAAAACTAATCACTAAACTGAATCACTGATATAAGTTTACGCGTTATCCGTTTGGACAGAAATGACATCCTCGAGGATTTTCGATGACGAAATAACTATAACCACCGTTGATACCAAAGGATGGATGGGTGGGTGGAAGAATGGATGGATGGATGGATGGATGGATGGATGGATGATGGGTGGATGGATGGGTGGATAGATGGATATATGGATGAATGAGTGGATGGATATATGGATGAATGAATGAATGAATGGATGGATGGATGGATGAGTGGATAGATGGATGGATGGATGGATGGATGGATATATGGATGAATGAATGGATGAATATATGGATAGATGAATGAATAAATGAATAGATGGATGGATAGGTGGATGGATGGATGGATGGGTGGGTGAATGGGTGGATAAATAGATGAATGGATTGATGGATGCTCATGGATATAATTCGATAATAGAAAGATTGGCCAGGGCTACCAGCTGTCTCTTATACACATCTAGATGTGTATAAGAGACAGGGTTAATATTGATCAATGTAAAAAAATAAAAAAATTCATCAGGTTAACCACTTTATTGTGTGCACACAAAACACCGAAGATGATAATCAGAAAATTGAATTTGATTAGATCACTGGATCCACGTTTACAAATAATGTCAGGAAAGAGTGAATTACAATTATCTTCGAAACACTTTCATTATACATTCGATTGCGGATTATTTGGCCATTAATTAAAACACTTGGCCTACAGTAACGGATTTCATTAACTTAACTACTTCAGTGAGTGGAAACGGAGCAACAAAGATGATAATCTAAAAATTTGTATATTAAAAGGGTTCGATAAATTTGATTGGAATTCTGTCAACATTTTTTTTTTATAAATAATTGTGTAGGGCATTACTGTTGATTAACTGATAACGACGAATATAACTCAACAACCTATATATTTTAAACAACCCAAACTCGTGTTTCTATGACGTTCCCAGCTAACACAATTGCGAACGTTGTAAACGTTGTGGTGATGGTTATCTAAAAAATAACATTTTTAGTACACCCTAAAGATAACAATCCAAAAGCCA